TGCACTCGTGCTGGCGTCATGATGTCAGAGGAGCTCTAATCAATAGAGCACACTTGCACCTTTTGGGGGCGTGATTAATCTCAGTCTGCCCAAGGCACAGTCCCCTGTTGTTGTTCCTAGTGTCACTAGTGTCCCAATAGCTCATTCTTTTTCTTTTTCATGTATTTTTGATATTGACTCGCCTTGCTCTTGACTACACTGTTTTCTGGCTCCCCTGACTCAGCTTTGTCTCTTGTATTGGCATATTTCTGGCTTGCCTGACTTGGCTTTGTTTCACGTATCTGTGCATTTCTGGCTTCCCTTGACCATCTAAGGACTGTTTTAGGGACCTTTTCATCTGTCTCTGTTTACATTCTGCGTGTTGGGTTATAACATTACAATAATAATGACATTTTATCTATGAATATATTCAAATTATTAATGCAAGTACTATTTGTATAGATTAAACATACTTATATGATTAGTATATATAGGTATCTATTTATCTATCTAGATATAACTATATATCATATATCACCCACATACGTACATATATATATATATATATATATATATATATATATATGTGTGTGTGTGTGTGAAACCAGGGGGCTGAACCTGAACATGTAGAAATGGGGTGCTGCTGGGGGCCAATTTATATAATACACAAGATCCAGCGCACTCAGCACTCACCTATCCACTAAACAGCAACTTCAATATTGACAGATTTTGTGACGTTGTGGCAGGCTTATGCAATGTATGATCATATAATGTAACTAAACCCCCATTATTTTTGCCTAGTTTAGGTGTTTTTAAAAAAAACTAATAAAATCTGTCGACATTGAAGTTGCTGTTTAGTGGTTAGGTGAGTGCTCTGGATCTTGTGCATTGTATAAATTGGCCCCCAGTAGCACCCCATTTATGCATGTTCAGGTGAGTGCAGCCCTCTGGTTTCATATATATATATATATATATATATATATATATATATATATATATATTGTGTAATATATATAGAAAAGAAATGTAAATGTGTATTTTTACCTTCTGTTACAAGATGGAGTCACATCTGCTAAGTAGTGACTAGACAGTAAACATTTAATTTCAATTCCACAATACCTCTGACACATGTCGTGGTATGTGTACACTTATTAATTCAACACTAGGCTATAAAACAACTGAGACTGGTCCAGGTTTACTAAGGAAATTCAATGTCTACTCCAGAATCCAAGTAGTGAGAAACTAGAGAACAGAATAAATATACTACCACCCAGTGTGAAGGTAAACACTCCTAGACACGGAACAAGGTCTTGAATAATGGAGTGTTTTTGAACGTTGTCAAGTGGAAGATAAATATAGAATGGAGATTAAGTTGGCCAAATTAAGATTTGACCTCCACATTGGAGGTTGTCAGGATTACCAATTGATCCTGCACGTAGAACTGTATCACACCTAGGACTAGAAGGTAACGTCTTTCTGGGCCTTAGAATGGCCGGACTTAACGTACCAAAGAATAGTCAGAATACTTGCCGAGGTCGGGGATACAGGATAGGACACAACGATGAGGGAAAGCCAAAATTCATAGATACCAGAATACAGAGAAGTCGAAACAAAGCCAAAGTCAATAACCAGAAATAAACGCTCAGGAACACACTCTTGGACAACCACTAATGGAAACCATGACAGGGCAATGAGTAAAAGGGGAAAAAAGGAGTTTAAATAAGTCTTCCTCAAATCCGATTGGCCACACCCGGCCTTTGACCCCAGAACGTGTGTGCGTCCTTTACGTGATGTCACACGCATGTCGACATAGTCAGTAGTGTGGGTGGGCGTGGGGCTACATATTGGTGTGGATCCACAGTGGCCCGCGTCCACCAAGATGTCGCAGGAGTCAGATATATTGCCGCATGACTGCTGAACGGCACTTCTGCATTTGTGATGAAGGCAACTACTGCAATTACCACACTGTGAGGCTGAGCATGTTAGTGGTATGGTATTCAGGTTAGTGATTAATTGTAATGAGGTATGTTATTCTTCTAAGGGAGTTGGGATTGGTTGTTTATGATGGGAAGAACTCCACAACAATATATCCCAGTGTTATAACATGCATATTTGCTGTATGTGTCAGATATGTATATGCATAGGTTGGCTAGAAGATCCTCAGCAATGTGAGTGGCACCAAACCTAACAAAGGCAAAGACAGAAGGATAGGAAGAGGTGTACTTGCAGACCTTAGAATATCTGGGCAAACATAAAGGTGGAACTATTAAATAACAGTACTAAATGAAGAGAAGGACACAGACCAAGAGAGGAACAAAATATAAAAAATGAAAAATACAAATATAAAATACACAGTATCAGATACAGGTACAAGGAATATCAAAACCAAGGCATAGTTGAGACAGGAAAGAGTCAGGAGCACAGAGAAGAGTAATGTCGGTAAACAAGCAGGAACTAGAATACTCATCTAGTAGTGTGACAAGACAGAAGACTGGAACATGAAGTAAACAGGCTAGGAGAAGTACACAAAAAAACAGAGTCTCAAAGAACAGGTACACAATAGCACTAATAACTCTGGAACCTTCCCAGGAGAGCAGGCTAGACAGAGAACGGTAAGTTTTCTGACAGTATACAAACAGCAAAAGTTAAGAAAAATATTAATTAAACAATAATTTTATCATAGAAGGAAACAAATAGAATAGAGGATGAAAGCCAAAAATAAATAAAACCCCTTAATGTGGTGAAGGTTAAAAGTTTGTAGGATATACAACATGGCTCTGCTTCAACCAGCATCTTGCTGTGGATTCATCAGTGATAATTGTCCATTCAGTAGTAAATTGTCATGGCATATAATATTTATTATTGCCATTCCCCAGTGTACATAGATCCGATAAGAATTTGGAAAAAAAAGCTGAAATGCATTCTACTAGGATAAATAGTCAAGAATTAGCAGCACAAAAAATATTTTATTTGTCCATCATTTCTGTTTCATTCCCCAAAAATGTTTATATTTTCCAACCAGCCCATGTACAGTTTGTTAAATTGCAGACATAAATATGACAAAGTCAAACACAATGTAGTTATTGGATTCTTCCCAGGCTGATATTTTTGGGATACTACTTAGCTTAACATTTATTGCATATTTTTATTGTGTCTTTAATTTGAACTTCTCTACTCCCACAAATCACCTGGGCCCACTCTAACATGGTAATTCAGAAGCAAGTGCATTGAATAACAAATTATGGATATGCTACATGTCATAAAATTACTTACACAAAAACTGGTAATATAATAGCCACACCGGATTCATGAAGTTGCTATCCATTTATATCTGCTTTAATCACCCTTTGCCAGTTGTTTTTGGCTGCCTAAATTATATCGTAGTCCACAGACAAGGTTGCAGGTGGGTATCGTGAAAATTAGGAGTCCTTGTCTGTGGACTACGAGCTGGATAAGTTAGAGCAGACTTCCACTGCTCTTCCTTTGTGAGTCATATTCCATTTCTTCTCTCAATACTCATTCCTTATACAGTATTATACTATGTTTGTTCTTCTGTGCTTTTTTTTGTATGTACCACAAGTCCTAACTCTATGTGGAGTACTAAGGAATATTGTCTCTTGGAAGTTATCATTATTTTTTTTAAGCTGGTTTTCACGATACCCACCTGCAAATGTGCACATATGGTATATTGTGTTAAGTTTGTTTACATATTGTATGCACTTTTTGCACTCTTTTGACACGTTTGATGCACCTGTCTGCACTTTGAAATTTAAAGGTATAGCACACCTTTTTTCTATTTGTATTCTCAGGATGTTTTTTAGAGCTTAGGCACTTTTAGGTGCTGCTTTACCTTTTATATATTGGTTTATATTTATTGTATCACTTATTTTACAGTTTTAGCGCTTTTATTTGCTTGTTTTTCTTTTTAATATATTTAGCACATCACTTTTCTATCTAACAGACTCTCTTATATGAAATTTTTTATCTAAATGAAGCTGTTATTGTGCCAGGAGGCCCCCCAGGTACACTCTTACCATAATATGTGTAACCATTCTTAAATGGCTTAATTCCAAAGTGTGTCTCCAGTGCCAAACTGCAGGTCTACCAGGCAGAATCTGGCTTCTGAATCAGAGTTTCAGAAAGCACAGAGTGCCACAATGCAGGGGCATCACTGACTGCCTTAGAGCATCGGCTTATGCTCTGCACCAATCTGTAGCTCCCCATTGATAGAAAATAAATGTACCTTGTTATGAATGTGGAGCTACTGATTGGCTAAGAGCATCAGATGAGAACTGTTTAACCCCTTAAGATAAGAGTGTGCCCAGGGCCCTCATAGCACCATAACAACTTAATTTAGATTACGTTGTTATGGTGACTGGAGTGTCCCTTTAATTCAGCAATTTATAAAGAATGGCTAACTATCAGGCTCCTCCAGAGCAACACCCCTGACAAGAGGCTGTTACAATCCAGATCTAATACTAGCACAAACATGTTTTTACTTAATTTAAAATTTACACAGTATTTAAATTTTTTTAAAATAATTGTTAGGACTTTGTTGGGGTGAGCTGACTTTGGCTGGAGCCCCAGAGGGCAGTCCTGAAATGCACCGAGTCTCTGAAATACTGCAAGATGATGTTATTTTTTTTCCAAATTTTTATGTTGAACGAGAAGTAACATCTCTAATTGCAGTCCTTAAATCAATCTCTTTTCTCTGTGTGGCAAACCTAGCCACTTTTGATCACATTGCTGTACCTGCAAAGGTTGTCTGTACAAGCAGCTGGACTGTTGTATTCAAATGTATGCCTGTAATTTTATATCATAGAGCATTCGTATGCTAGCGGCCAAAAGCCGCTAGCATTCATATGTTCATTTCATGGACAGGGACTTTACCTGCTGTTCGTGAAGTACCGAACAGGAGCCCACACACAGAGGGTCGTGTGGCTCCCATTAGCCGATTGCAACATTGTTGCAATCAGCAGTTAATTAAGTTCCTAGGTGGCCGTTGTTCGGCTACTGACCGCGCGGCGGGCCGCCATCTTGGATCCTTTGTTCACCCAGTGGTGTTTGGTCGTCGAGCGCGTGGAACTAAAATCGGCTACTCGACGGCGCGAACACCGCTGGGCTTCCAGGCCGTTCGGGAGCTCCGGTCTTTCAATATTGTGTTTCCCCATCAGTGTTCGGTACTTTCAGGAGAACATGATGTGAAAGTGTATTTCGTGCAGCGTTCGGTTATTTATGCTGGGATCTGAGCAGTACTTTCACGAAAGGTGCGCTCAGACCCCAGCTATCTACTGAACGGCCATTCGGTAATGTAAGACGAATAATGTACAAGTTATGTATTTTTATGTAAAATGTTAGTTCTGCTGCACGGAGGGATAATCCACTTTATTTCAGTGGGAGTATCCCTCCCGTGCAGCAGTGCCTGATGGGAGAAATGTCCGGGTTGTTACGTCCCCCATGTAGTCCCTTACTGTACAATCCCTGAAATGTCAGTAGGGAAACCCCTTGCATGGGGACTTGCATAAATACTGTGACCTGTGAATAAAAGCTCAGTTGACTCCCAGAACTGTGTTTCGTCCGGTTACTGGGGGATTTGGGATATTGCCTTACTTTTCAGCACTTTACTTTGGATTACCTTCTGCACCAGCGGAGATCTTGGGATTTAATATTGCAGCTCCGCTACACTCTGTTTACAAAAAAGGTTATGCTGGAGAAATGGAAATTCACAGTCCCTTAGTTAAGTCATGTTTATTCATGCACAGTTAACATCATTAACAGAGATATTACAGCATTTATGTCTTAAACATGATTCATAAAATATATTATGTCACAAAAATCTAATACAGCAAACACACACACATATATATATATATATATATATATATATATATATATAAAACTAGTAAACCGTACTAACTGCCTTTGACATATAGTTGGGTGGCAAAGTTTACACTGTGTCTACAGTGTGTATAATGTACCATGCATATCAATTAAAGGGAAATGCCAAAACATGTTTGCATTATGCATTTTTGATAAACTGATTATTGCTTAGAGCATGAACAATGCCAGATTGTAAACCCAAAGCAAATCAATTTCCTGAGAATTTCTCACTGAGGCACGAAAGATAACTTCTCAGCAGTCATTTTTAATGCATAACAATAACAGATCTGCAATTAGGATGTGTTTTTCTTTGTTATGATATTAAATTAAAGAAAGAATATGAATATTGCACTCCAATCAATATACAAACAGTGACTGTTCTGAGAATAATAAAACCACAAACAATATATTGTCAGTTATTGTGTTCTAAAGTCTTCTGTCAAGAACGTGACATATTAAATCACAAAGACTGAATTAAGAAATTATCTTTTATGTGAGTGATCAGCATGAAACACACTGTCCTACAACATTATACTCAATATCCCATGCAGTTGCAATATATAAGAAATATGCTAATTACCTCTATTTGGATAAAAAAAAAAAAGATAATAACATTTAGTCGTTTTTAACATTAATGCTGCGATGTAACCAATCTAAAAAGATATGAAATTCCTAGGTGTGCAATGTTCATTGAAATGCAGTTTGAGAACTCAAAGTGCTATTCTGTATGCAGTTATATAACTTGCTTTATCTCACTACTTTAATCATTCTTTGACAGTAGAAAGTCTCTCATTTCAGCTGGAATTGATACATTAAAGAATTCACTGTTTTGCACAGTTTTTTTTTTTTCTACAGATATTTACTCTGTAAATCATTTTAATTGCAATGGAGATGATGAAATCCCATATAAAAGTTTATTACCATGAGGCATTTTGTAACTCTGTTACTATTTGAATTTCTATTTTTGTGAGTGCAACATTGCTATAATGTTGCTTTTGGGGCTTATAAAATATATCAGCGCAGACCTGGGTCATAATTACAAGTTCCATGTACAATTGGTGCTTATTTTCAGAATGCTGTACTAGAACATATTTAATTAATTGTGAATAAAATAATCCATGTATTTGTTTTGTATGAAAATATACAAGTTATTTGTAGGATTATAAAATAGGATATTGTGAAGGAATGCACCTTGTTTCCAAGGCTCCAGCGTGTAGGTGCCATAAATGGCTGTCCTATATTAAAATTGACTAACTTGGACTTATGTAATGCTTTATGCTTGAATTAACTTTGTCTACATTAAGTTCTCTTTCTTACAACAACTAGCCCCCACCAGAGTACTTCTGTAAACTGCTTATCTTTCGACATTTAGAAATATTCTTCTTGCATTCCTTTCCTATGACTGTTTAAAAAACAGTAAATATGTTTTGCACATAAGCACATATCCCTCACTGTATAAAACTAATTCCCCCAATTAAAGCTAGAAGCAATTCTTCTGGATTCACAACTATCATGTGTTGTGTGCCTTATTGCTTCTCCAAGCGCTTGAATTGATTTGGGTTCCCCTGAACATAATTAAAGGATGATTTATCCTTGACAAATTTGGTGTCGAAACCCGGGAATGTTCACTTATCCGTGAACTGGAGAATCTGTGCTTCTCTGACTATGAACAAGTGCTGCAGCAAGGTAAGAAAAAGTGTTTATTTTTCTACCTGTTACGTTCACTCTCAGAGCAGTGCTTATTCTGTGTCCGGGTAAGTTTTGGAATTAAAAATTGTCATTTTCCAAGAACACATTTAAAGGGACATACTATGTTCTGGTGGAATGTCTTGTGAAAGTAGTTTACTAAAGAATATGTCTGTGCAGTCCAAGTTATTCTTATTATCTGCCTAGTTGCTTATTTCCTGATCAGAATAAGAATTCCCCAGGACCGGTATACTGACCTGTGTTTAAATCGAAGACAAGTTCAGTAAATAAATTCCACTAGTGGTCCAAAGTGTTGTACACTGATTAAGTACGTTCTTGTCTTGTCTTGCATTTAAGTATGTTTGATGGGGAATTCACAGAGTACTCAGGAGGAATATACTGCCCTAACCATAGTGAAACAACATAAGGGCAAAGAGGGAGTTAAAGCTGTAAAGAAGCTTCTTAAGAAAGCTGGGATGCCTTCTGAAGGCTCCCTGGACCCATATGTTTAGAAAGATTTTGTGGCCAATTATAAAGAATGGTGAATGGATAACAATTTAGTTGAAGTCACCCAGAAATGGCTTGATACTGCAGTAAATTTGACTAAATGTGGTGGTTTAGAGAAACCACTAGGAATGGGGTACTCTACTACTAATCTTTTAGCGCCTTAGGATCCAGCTATACAGCTATAGCCCCTACTACCTTATACAACCCACCACCATACCCTGATAAAGATGAGGGTGACCTTAAGCGGTGTCTCAAACAGACCCCTCAAGTCTCTGTCTCCACTACTAATCCAGTTACTCAAAAATCTTACTGGATTTGTCCCAGATGTGAATGTACTAACCCTTGGTGGGAAGAAAAATATAGAAGTTGTGGGTTCCCTAGACAACCAGTTTAACACCTTATGCCCAACAGTGGGAAGTACCAGGACACTCCACCTTTCCTGATAGTTCTCCATAGTGGACCACTCTGGGTCCCACTGATGCCTCTGGTCTCCCAGAGCCTGACCAATCTTGCATCATTACCATAGAACAAGATGCTTCAACTAGCACCCCCAGAAGACAGGTAGCACCCCGCCCCACTCTGCACACATGGGAGGCATATAAGCTATGGACCCCCTAGTGAGCAGTTAGCTATTATCCAGCAACTGCCTGATGTGGAAAAGGCTCCCCTGGGACTTGTACAATCTATCTAGACAATACAGGCCACTTATAAGTGCACCTGGAGAGATTTGAAACAAATTGTTGATTTGGCTGTCCCTATAATGGCAAAAATCATAGCCCAATACACTGACAAACAGGGGGAAGAGCTAAAAGCTGGTGAAGGCTACAAACCCAAGTTATGGTTCAGGACGAAGCCTGCCTCGGGTAAAGCATATGTTACAGCTTTAAAGAATTGGGCTAAGGTAAAAGTGGAAGAATTAGCCCACAAACTCACTGATATTGTACAGGACAAAGAGGAAATTTTTTTTGCCCGCCTTCAGACAGGCTGGGAGTCGCTGGAGTACTCAGAAGCAGACCCCCTATCTATCAGACATTTGGTTACTTGTTTAATGGATGGTTTACACCCCCCCCTTGTGCACTACATTACAGTTAAAGTAGCCATGGAGGTAGAGGCTAATTCTAATACAAGAAACCAAGAGCCCTTATGGCTGTGACTGCTCCCAGAAAGGCCAATAGCCGCCAGCAAGTAGAAGGCTGGAACTGTGGGAGAAAAGGACTCATCAGGTGAAACTGTAAATATTCTCCTTGCATCAAACCTGACAGTCAGAATGCAAAAGCAGCGCCCCTGCTTACATCTCCTTCACAAGATACTGCTGCTTCCCCATGGGAAATTGACAACCCATTGTCCCTGCACGCTTTAACTTTTCCCGACATAGCTGAACCTTCTCCCACTGTTAATTTTACATTACCAGGTGATAGAATAGTCCCATTTCTGCTAGACACTGGGGCAGTTGTGCAGGAGAAATATATCTTTCCCTATGGGAAATCTGATGATGTGTTCATGATTCTACTTTTCTTGTTACCAGATTGCTTGACAGCCCGAATGCCCCTGTTAATTTGCTAGGCAGTGATGTTTTGTCTGCTATTAATCCCAGCATACAGTTCAGTCCCACTGGTAATGTGACTTTGAATTTGCCCCTTGAAGATAACCTTCTCATACCACTTGCCAGTATGCTGGCAAATCTCAACTTGTCCAACCCTGTGACAGAACCTACAATTGACTTTACCTCAGTACCCAACTCTCTATAGGCAATAGGGAAGACTGACATAGTCAGACTCTCTGTGCCCCCAGTCAAAGTGACTATCCAACAGGGAGTCACCCCTCCCTGTCAAAAACAGTATTCCCTTAGCCCAGCACAAGATGATGACATTTCTCAGTCCGTCCAGGACTTATTGCAGGCAGGTGTAATTGTCCCAATAACCCCCACTTGCAATACCCCCTTGTATCCCTTCAAAAAGAAATAAGAGAAGGGAAAACCAGTAGTATACCGTATGGTACACAATTTAAGGGTTATAAATGCAGTGACTGAATTAATTGCCCCCAATGTTCCCAGCCATCATATACTGTTGTCACAGATTCCACCTTCTTCTAAGGTGTTTACTGTCATTGTCCTGGCTAATGCATTTTTTTCTCTGTTTCCTTGCACCCAAATAGCAAATTCTGTTTTGC